TATTCATTTGTTTATTCAAGTTCCATCGAAATATACTATACCTATTAATGATTAACAATGACATCGATGATGGTCGACCTTACACCGCACTTGAGCGCACGTGTATGCTGTAATTCACTCGTTAGTTGCGTAGTGAAACTAATTATATTAAACTGACTCGTCGACTAACAAGCGATCAAGTAATCAAAGGAAACACGCGTCAAACCAGGCTTTTATATTTCAAAGATATTTTTATAATATGGTTATTAGACTGATGAGTTTCTATAAATGATATTTATATGGTCAATCCTTAATTTATTTGCATAAACATAGATATATCTTATCAAATATTCTATGTCGAATGCTTTGTCATTATTTATCATCATCTTCTTGCCTCATCATCATCATCGTCTTATGCCACTCATTTGGGGTTGGGGTGATATGATTTTATCCATATTACCCAAGGTTTTAGCTTATAATTTTACCACTGGCCGCCTGCCTGACGTTAACTTTCCTTGGGATTAGATGGTATAGAGGAATGGCTTGACGAACTTTAGGAGCGAGTAAAGGAAGTTTTTTGCCAATAACCCCCTCCCCCATCTTCTAGAAAATACATCAATAGGTTTAAATCCTATGACAAATCCTGGATCGTGCATATAAATTAGTTTGAAAATAAAATTGTATTAGAAGACCAGACGGTGCTGAATTGTTTTGTATACGACCTTGGCGGTATAGCGGTTATCCACATTAACTCACCATCTGAAGGTTCCGGGTTCGATCCCCGCACAAAACAAACATTTGTATTCATGAGTATGTCTATTTGTATTAGTGTGGAATTTCTATTTTTTATGTATTAGCTTTCTATATAAGACTTGGTTAGTTTGGAAGTAGATGGCGCTGTTTGCTTTTTATTTACACTTCTTAATGTCAAATGTAAAAAAAGAATGGTACTTATGTCTTGAATGTGACTTACGCCTTATAGAATTATAAACCTTAAACGATTAAGATACGACCCTACTTACATCAGAAAAAAGTTTTATAATTAAATTCTCTATAAATGGAAGATAAAAAGTGCATTTGTCTAGTTAAGTGTAAAGTTATGGCATTGCATGTTATATTAAGTTATGGCAGTAACCATTTACATTATTCTTTAGGCATTATGTTTATTAATTAACCGATTTAAAAAAAAAATCCCTTTTTTCAGATTGAGTGAATTTTTTTACAAGTACCCTAGATAAAATGCAATACTTAGACTAATACTGTACTAATTTCGATGATTCGTTTTGCAATTGTCAGGGTTTATTTTGTCCCGATTTTAGTAAAAAATTTTAGTGGACCAAATTCTTCGTAATTAGGGACGAGATTGTGATATAAAAATACAGTCGAAACATATTCCTAAACGTGCCACCTACCTACTTATGCTTTAATTCTTTCTACCCAAAGGTTGTCTGGAAGAGATTGCTTAGCAATAAAACCGCCTTTTGTACTACACTATACGTATTGAAAATTGTTTTAACAAATCATGTTATGTTGGTGCAATAAAGTGTTAAATAAATAAATAAATAAATACAATTCCTTTTTTTAATTCAAAACAAAATTGCTGCTTATGTTTAGTAAGTATAGCAAAAAACCTGTTTGCTCAATACTGCCTGTCTCATTGCTAACCCTATTGCTCAATGCTCGCTAACTAACTGCCAGCCCTATAGGAGCACGTGCTCGCGAAAGGTGCGGCCACATGTGCCGCTGCAGGTGGCGCCACACCCGCCGGCCAACTGCCTCGTGCCTTTTGTTGCGTAACGGGAAATATCGCCTTGCCGACGCTGTCTATTGCCTGATGGTCAATCAAGCGACATACCTTAGCTTGCTGTCTCTACCTCGCATGTGAGGCATACAAAAAAAAGACATGTCTTTTTTGATAAAATACAGCCCATAATACTTGATGATAACGTAGCTTTTTATAGGCGAAAGAATTTTAATATCAATTAAGTATTTTTGTGTTTATTCATTACAAACATAAAATCAAATCTTGCCTTTTTATAATATTACCCTTGATATGAAAAGAGATTAAAGTTAGCATCGTTTTTAACTTTGGAAGTGGTATATTTGGAAACATCAACACTAAGAAACAAATCTTAGTATATATATATATATATATATATATATATATATATATATATATATATATATATATATATATATATATATACTAGCGGCCCGGTACGTATAAAGTGAAATAATAAAATAAAAATTTAACAATAAATTCATTTATTCAAACAAAAAAATATTTTATATATAATATTTGTGAATGATCGCATGAATGACAACAACATGTTTGTACTGTCAACACTGAAAAAAGTTTCAATTTGAAAGCACAATCCCCATCTTAAAAAGTTTGAACTTGACACAAAAAATTCTATTTTCAAATGATCCGCCATTTATTGAATTCATTTGTTACAAAAAATATGATAAATGAATAACCGCTCGACTGATTTTGTGCAAACTTCACATAAACCATCTATTAAATAGTTCGAACAAAGCCTAAACATTTGGTTTGGATAGCTGAGCTCGTTCTTGAGTTATAAAATTACAATGAAAAGTGGCATTATCATTTATATATTATATATAGATTACCGCCGATTAATCGAGATATTTGAATTTATTACGTGTATATCATAATATACTTTTGTTTAAAATAATTAAAAAAAATCATATGACTGCAAGTAATATGGTCATACAATAAATGCGAATCATAGCGTCGGTCTTTATTGTTCAATCTCCTTTATCATATTTACAACTAATTAAACACTGTAATTAATAAAGACTGTAGCTTTTACGACATTTTAACGGTTCAGCGGCGGCGCACCTGCGGTAATGCAACTTCTTATGACTAACTAACGTAACCCACTGGCTGTTAAAACTGTCTATAGTCATAAAATATACTCGTAGTCATCGAATAACCCATAGATATAAGGGGGAAAGGGATTGTTAGTAATGGAGACTGAGAATCCCATTGCTAGCAATATACCCAACCAGGTCGACCTCCTCGCGGTTCCCCCTGGAAACTATCATGGTTAATTCCAGATGAATTCATCATGATGGGCTAACTGGCCTGTTTTCATCCTCATCGATCACCATTCACTGGTGCCCCGCCAGCGTATCTCGTTAGCGTAGGCGGGGTACCATACCATTTTCATCCAATAAAAAAAAAACCATAGATATACCTAGGTAGTATCGTCGTTTGGTCCCGGCATAGAATGTGCCACCCTATTTTTCCGTGAGTGTCGTAGAAGGCGACTAAGGGAACTTAATGGTCGAGAGTTAAGTAGCAATGCCCTTCTTAAAACATCATTAAAACCTATTACAAATTAACCTAGTACAAATTATGTCAAATAAGTTTTATTAATTAATGTCAAATGATATTTCTTAAAATACCTTATAACTGCAACACAATTATACCAAAGGGAGACTTTGTACAAAAGTCGATTGCTTGGGTACCTCTGTCCCATTCGTATTTCAACCGTGAAGCAGTTGTTTGCATGACTGTGTTTCGGTTTGAAGGGTGGGATATGGCGTGAATTTACTGGGTACAGAGGAATAAAACCTGAGTCCTCAGAAATGGCAACGCATGGGGGGGTATCATGGGCGAAACTGTATACTCTGTTATGTCCATGGTATTGCTCATGTTTATAGGCGACGGTTACCACTTTCCATCAGGTGGGCCGTTGTTTGCTATTCTAAATTGTATAAAACAAAAATAATTTAAGAATTGATCATATATAGTACCCTTGATATCGATAGTTATGTAATTATTGCTTGAAAGATATTTGTTTGAGAGAGAGAGAGAGAGAGAGAGAGAGAACGTCTACCAGAGAGAGACGAGTGCCAAAGGTCCATACTACATAAATCTATTGCTTTATCCTCTTTCATAACTAGTCTCATGTTATATTACATATAGGTACTCGCTTATTAATAAACATAGAGTAAAGCCAGATTAATTTCATTCTAAGTAACAAGTCTATATTAATCTATTCTTGTATTAATGAGCACGGATTAGAACGAGTAAGCTAGTCCAACTGGAGTAAAAGTTAAAACCTGTCGAATAGCTTTTGTTTCTGTGTAGGTACTTTTTATTGTTCGCTTTTTTAACGTTGGTTGTAATTTGTTTTTTAAATTTAAATAAAATACCTGAAGATTATAATGATTTGAGGCTACTGAATAAATAAATGAGTAGGTTTCTAAACATACTACACTGGTTACTTTATATAAAATACATGAAGGAGGTTTTACACTTTTTTGGACGATGAGCCACGATTCATACGCACAATGGCCCAAATGAGAGGCTAAGCGCGGAAAATAGTCTTTTTCACATTCACATTCACATTCATACACTTTCTTGGAGGTGAATTTCAGTATATTGTAATACAAATTGCAAGTATTATGGGGAAAAGAAAGGGAATATAAGATACTCGTGACAATTCAATTAATAATAAGTTGTTAATTGAAAGAAAATTAAATATTACAGCTAATTTGATAATAATAATAATTATTATATTACCCGAACATAACAACTGTAATTGTCTGCACAAACATAACAATTATTAAGTAATCTATGACTAAACGTGATTACTTCTAGGAATAAGTTTATAGTAATTTGACGTAGTTCGTAATTCGTATGTTAAAATAAGAAGGTAGCTTTATGTGTAATGATATAAGGTTCATATTTAGTTTTCGACAAATTTAATTTTACTAAATGTGTTAAAATGAATTTAGATGTTTAAGTAATTGGATTATCAATCATCTAAGGTATTATATGTCCAATGTTATACATAGGTCTTCCCCATAGACTGTCAAAAAGAACGGTCTTATGACACCTGCAAGTGATTGGTTGTTTGTCATTTAATCACGTTTAACTACATGAACGATATTTCGTACACACATGAATCACATATTGTATTAATACGTAGGATACATTTTAAAATATTTACAATTATTTAATATATATTTATCGCTTATTGTTTCAGATCGCAATAAAATCAAAGCAAAGGAACTCTACCATCGTGTACCTCAATGATTTCATTTAAAATGACCTCGGTTTAGGTAAGTGATTCTTATTTCTACTAGATTATAGATAAAATGATGATAAATACTTCCTAGTTTTCTTTTTTCTATGACTAAACATTGATACGCGCGTTATATGTCAATATTGTAGTTGTGAGACCAATCACGTCACTCGTTGACGGATAAGCGACGTGTGCGACACGGAGACCGGACGTGATTCGATTATGAATCGAGTCGGACCACCTCAATTACATTAATTATTCGAAAAAATCGAGTGCATTCTGGGTTTTCATTTGCGTAACTTTTGTTTACGTAAAATATACTCGAATAGTGAATTTCAAGTGAGATTGTGATGAGTAAATATATTCTACGTTCCACAATTATTATTTAACAATAATCGCTAAAATAAAAAAAAAAAGAATTTGAGACTTTTTATTTTATTTTTTATATGTTGGGTATCTTCTATTATTAATCGATAGTTTGATTGGGGATAAAAATAATCCAACAATCAATTATGTAATCAATAATACGATAATATCGATAATTTTTGTAGTAAGAAATTGGGAAAATACGATTGGTTATGTATTCGTAATCGAATTGATATAATGTTTTTAATTCTTTTTATTATTGGATACAATTTATATTGTCGATAGTATTGCAAACTATAAACTATGTGTATTAACTATTATATCGATATAGAGGAATCAATCCAATTATCGATTAATTTGATAATCGATTAATAGGTAAAATCATTATAAAAGTGTATATTATTTATAGTATAACTAATAGTACTATTAGTGATAGATTACTAGTACTGAAATCTCTAAACTCATATATTCCTTAACTTTATGTCATAAAAATCTAATCGTCTTACTACAAAAAAGTAAAGTTTTGATAAACAGGTATTCAGTACACGTTTAGACGTCTTATATCTACTACAAAAGCGTGTCTGACATCTGTTTATGACTAAACAAAGGAAAGTGCAACAATATTTAAATAATATAATAATCAATAAAAATTAAATGTTTAACTATCATACAGTTATGTTTATATTTAATCATCATGTATTTACAGATACTAACCGATATGAAAGGCAAATCAACAGTTTTATCATTTATAATATTTAAATAAATCCAGGTTGAACTTTTGACTATAATCTGCTTGCATTGATTAGACATTGCATATTTATAACATATTAAAAATATTGATTACAGTTTAATATTTGGTTAATACATACTATAACTTTTCTATAATATCAATATATTTTTTTATAATTTACTTTTATATATATATATATATATATATATATATATATATATATATATATATATATATATATATATATATATATATATATATATATATATATACTTCTGAAACAGGTTTTTTCATACCTACCTCGGGAGTTAGCGACTTCAAACTACTAGTATATTGTAACAAAGAGTGAAATAAAGATTATTTATTTATTTATTTATATATACATAAATAAATTATGTTAATATTATATATAAAAGAAATATGTAAAATAAATCATTAAAAGTATCACATGGTATATTACTATAATGATTTCTTACTCTAATCTAATCGTAAAAATTTTAGTAAATGGATATATCATTTGTGTTCACAAAATCAATTAATATTCATATAGAAATATTAATAAATGTAAAAGTATTTTAAAGTTAGTTTCAAGCGTGTTCTTGAAAGGTATTTAAAAATTTTATGTCAATAAAAAGTGTTATTACACGACTTAATATTAATATACATGGAATGCAGATAACAACTATAGATAAAAAAAAAATGTAAGTCATCGACATAATAAGTTAGGTTCAACAAACTCCGCGCGAGGGCGCGGCGGATTCCTAAATATCTCTCGTTTACACCAAAACAATTTTGTTTTAAAATGAATGAGTCATATTTGCTAAATACCAATATGTCAATATAACGCGATTGTATCTATTTTCTTTCTTTTTAATTGGCTTCAAAAAGAAAGAGATTCCCAATTCGGTTGCATTTTTTTGTTTGTTACCTCATAGCTCCGTCAGTTCTAAACAGATTTTTTTTATCTGAAAGTGTATATTTACAGATTAGTACTATAAAAACTTCATCATAATTTATTCAGTACTTTAGATTTGAAATCAAAATAACAGGTTATACCACAATTGAAATTGGATTTTTGTAAAACATAATCTTTATTTGTACAGTAGCTACCTTATAGCACAGATAATATAATACTATACCTTATAGTAAGCAGTTCAAATATGGGTGTTGAGTTCTCTGTCATTCTTTTAAGGTTGACTGGGAGATAATAATGCTTTTAGAATTAAGACCATTTTGTATACGTGTATTGTACTAAAGTATAAATAAATAAGGGTCGCCATCACCCATAGATTAAGGATAGATCTCAGTAATTTATACTGTCTTGGTAATTGTCATCTTGGCAGTTTGCAAATGTTTTTTCAATACTGCAGAGAGCCACCTGTATCCATTGACTCTCTGCAACACATTTAAGGTCTCCACTCCATCTAGTGGTCGTCCTACACTGCGTTTGCTCGTACGGGATCGCCATTTAAGAACCTTTCTTCTCCATCGGTTGTCGGTTCTTCGAGCTATGTGACCAGCCCATTGCTACAGCATGCTTAACCTTTTTTTATATTGACTAGAAAATCCCTAAAAACAATGAAATTTTACGATTATTATATATTCCGTATATAATGTAAAACTAAGAGCTCACCATCATTCTATTACATCGAATTCCAAGCATTCAATTGTATTATGTTTAAACAGTATGAATCGACAACAATGCTGTTTGCTCCGGAATAGTACAGCGTATTGACCGTCCGAACCGATTTGTCGTGTGTGGCCAGATTACATTTGCCTCAGTAGTATCTTTATGAGCTTTATGTCTTTGTAGATAAGGTATAAAACGGAATATCTACTTGTTTTAGTCCAACAATGCTCACTAGTTAGCACTTTTGTCTGCTGATTCTTTTAGTAGCCGCTGTTTGGTCTCTGACTGGGAACAAATATGCTAATTTCTAACACAAAGAGTGTAAGGAATTAGCGCATTTATGAAACAAGATTTAAAGCGATATAGTAACTATCGGTTGTTGTATTAATTTAAACTGCGAGACGGTGATTTTCTAAAAATTGTAATGTTATTAAAATTTTGGAGTTGAGACTCGCAGTTAAGTTTTTAAATTCCGGAGACGTAAAATTTTTTTTATACAATTTAGAATGGCAAACAAGCTGACGGCCCATCTAATGGAAAGTGGTAGCCGTCGCCTATAGACATGAGCAGTACCATGGACATAATAGAGTATACTGTTTCGTCCATGATACCCGCCATGCGTTGCCATTCCTGAGGACTCAGGTGTTATTCCTCTGTACCCTGTAAATTTACGCCATATCCCACTCTTCAAACCGAAACACAGCCATGCAAACACAACTGCTTTAAGGTTGAAACATGAATGGGACAGAGGTACCCAAGCAATCGACTTTTTGGAGAATAGATTGTAAACATGGATTAGATCTGTTGAAACCTTCGCAGTAATTACTTGTAGAACAAACCTTCACTTATTAAGTATTAGGAAGATATTTTGAATTAAGGCTCCCTCTGGACTGTAAATAAAATCGTTACACAAGTAAACATAATTTTTTATCAAATATCTGTCTACCTTAATAGAGCTGTGACAGATGTCAATAAATAAATATCTATGTAATATATGGTCATAGCATAAAATAATTTATTGTTCAAATGATTTATTTTCATTGGTTCACATACTGAGCAAGCAGAAGTCGAATATTTGAATATTTCGATACCCGTGATGTAAAGTTGTATCGATTACCGAACAAATAGACTCGACAAATAAACATTCGTACTTGACAAACGAGGAAATAATAGGCTAAAGCGTGACTAAAGCTTCGATTATTTATAGAACGTATCGATTACAACCTACGTATTCGATTATATTCGAATTTCTATTACAAATAGAATCTTATGAAATATCTTTATTGGTTTGTACGATCTATAATTTCTATTTATTTTGCAATAGAATCGATTTTTTCTTCATTACATATCAAATGTCAAATACAATTCTACATTATTATCAATGTAACATTAATGGCTGCTACTCTCTATAACTAGACGTGAGTAAAGGTTTACACTAAACAAAAAATTGTAGGGCAACTAATACGAGTACGTAACAAAGATTAGGTCTAACATCACTATTATAGGGACAAATAGTTCATAAGGAGGACATTTCTCCGTTATATCAGAGAGAAAACTAAACGTGTAACAAATTCATTTGCCTAAAAAGGAGTTAATGAAATACTATAACCTATAATAATAAATATTTACTTATCATATACAAACTCATTTAAATGGCAGCAAAACTTTTCTGAAAAAAAACATAAATTGATTTAAATTAGAGCCAGTTGTCTCGTTGACGCTTGGCGTGAGAATCTAATACAATGGGGAGAGCGAACTCTGTGGCTGGAACCTTGGTAACTGGCATGAAATCGTGGGACCCGTGGGATACTAGTTGCTATGGTAGCAAGCGGGATGTTATTCTCATATAGAGTGTTTATATTTTGTTCGGCATATGTCCTATATAATGATGTGAGTGTGAGTATTAGAATTGCAACTAAAACTTGTCTGTATATATACCACGTATACGTTATTAACAGTATAGATATCCAAGCGATATTGATATTACCCATTATGAATATCGTTTGGATATCTATATATTGGGTTCTTTCGGATACTGACGGTGGAAAAAAGACCATTGCCCATTTTAATATTGATGATATCTATACTTATTTTATATATATATGGATGACTGATATTTAATATATTTTTTATTGACCCAATATATCGATATTGTAACTAGAATATGCTGTTTAGTATCCATTCCTAGTTAGTAAATAGATTTTGATGATAACTACTACTAATATGAGGGTGGAGTACTCTAGTGTCAATGGTATTTAAGGTTTTATTTAAACATAAAGCGTTTGGTCAAACATTCGAACTTAACTAATGT